AGGATAAAGTCTCATCGAAAAGATAACACTTAAGCAAAGACTTGAAGGATGTGAGAAAATTAGTCATTCCTCTGTGGGAAAAGCTTACTGTTTCCCACTAGGGGCTAGAGCTAGTGCAAAGGTCCTAAGATAAAGTGTGGCTGATGTATTTAAGGAAGAAGTCAATGTGGCTGGAATGCAGTGAGCAAGAGGGAGGATGATAGGCGATCAAAGAGAGAAGAGGAGAGAAAGGGCAGGCGGACCGTGTAACATCTTATAGGCCACTGTAAGGTCTGGCTTTTACTCTGAGAAATGAGAATTCAAAAATTACAAGCCTTACCCAAAGTCATATAGCTAGTAAGTGGCAAAGCAGCTAGGATTTGACCTAGGAAGTCTGGACTCTCTACACCTGTGTTCTACGATTCCAATTTGCCACTTATTAGCTCACAACCTCCCTCCCAGGAAGTCTGAATTTAAATACTCTCGAAAAGTTAATTTTATAAAAACCTTCTAGGTGAGAGATACACAAGCTCTCCAGTTAACATTTCTAATCCCTCACAACCATAATGGGAATTTATTAATCCTGGTGTCTAATCTAAATCCTACTAACATTCCAGCCTATATTTTAAGAGATTATAAATCCCACCTTCCCCCCAAATGAGACAAGATCAAGAAAGCTTTGATCAGAGGCTTAAAGCATGACTTTCAGGTTCAAGTAACAGTAACACGAATCATTTTAAAAGTGTATATTACCCAGATGTGAACAGTAACAAGATAATGGCTCAGGAATGTGGAAGTAGTGTCATTTCCCTTAGTAGCTTACCAGTTAGTATTAATAACTATGTTCTAAAAGAAGCTCCTGCAATCACTACAGCTCTTTGAGGTCTGGGACTTGACCATTTCATACTCCAAAAGTAACAAAATATGTGTTCTTATTTTCATTCATCTGTTGCTTTTGGTACTGTAACTGAAAACTCTTGATAGCTTCTTGCCAGTTGATGGCAATTTAAGGCAATGGCAAAGATGAGAGGATTTTGAGGGAGACACCATCTGTGAAGCGTATCAGACAGCTTAAGCCCTTAATGGCCCTGGGTCAGTCCTTTCCCACTGGATGAACTCAAGCTGTACAGGAATATTTCATATATCCATGAGAGAGAAAGTAAAAGATGGAACATGAGGAGGGAGCATTTCAAATCAGACCTACTCTTCAAAGGCTTTCATCATTACATCATTACTGCGCAAATATAGGAGGCTGTTTCATGGACCCTGGAGCCACCAAAATCCCCAACCAGTACCTATTAGAAAAAGCATCACAGCAATTACTAAGGATAAACCAAATAATACGGCTAACAGAAACTTTCCACCCCAAAGCCAGTCGTTTTCAACAGAAATTCAACTTCCTTCTGTTATCTTTTCCCAGGCTTAGCCAATGCAAGGGAACTGCAACTTTGTGTGGCATTGTCTGATAGGTTGGATTTTTTTCTGAGCAACAAGTGGACAGCTTTACACCAGAACTAGATTTATAGTCAATCTGGGTGTGTGTCTTTTTTTTTCCCCTCCCCCTCCAAACTGCCTTGGAAAATGCCTGGCTATTGTGCCTTGAGATGTAATGATGCACGGCTTTAAGTACTGCAAAGGATCTGGTAAAGAAAGTCCCTTGGTCCCAGTTATGGTTCTAATCTTACAATTTCTATAGCAGCTGTTTTAATCGACCAAAGCTGGTTTGGCTTTTCTCACTGAGCCAAACATGAGCCTTCTGAGCTGTGTGCAGAGGGGCTGCCTGTCAGCATGACTCCCAATGGGGTGGCTAACATGGAATATGCTCCAGAGTCTAGAAACCAGGACAGCACAGATGCCGTTTACCTACACATGCACCTACAGTTTG